CTCCAGGCACTGGCACATCATTTCTACCACTTCGCTGAGTTGGCACAGGGCAGACAGATACAACTGGGTATCGTCTGCATTTTGATGATATTTGATCCCGTGCCGACGAATGATCTCACCCAGCGGCTTCATGTAGATGTTAAATAGTACGGGTGACAGGAACGAGCCCTGAGGCACCCCGTATTTTAGGGGCCTAGGGGTCGACCTCTGTCCTCCAACCAACACCGACTGTGACCTATCTGAGAGGAAACAGGATGAAGGGCAAGTTTATCATTAGAGTTTATTTTATATTACTATTTTAAATACCTTAAGTTCAGTAGTATATTCTTTATTTTTATTTTTTTCATTTCAATTAACAAGCACAGAGTAGATTATTTTTAATGATAGCTTTTACTTTATTTTACTTAGTGATTCAGTTATTGTATTAAAGCAAATTCTGAATTTCAGAATACCTGCTGGAAGACTGTTGTGACCAGTTTTGGTGACAGGAGATTCTTGAGCCGTATTTCCTCTATTGCCAACTGCATTTGACATCCAGTTATAAAAACTCACAGATGGTTCTGATAATAATGGATGTTCTGATAGAATTTCGGATTGCATGGTGTTTGCTAGACAGGAATAAAAACAATTAAATACTGTAGGTCCTTAAAAATAAATGTTGATAATATAGTTTTCAAACCAATTTGAACCTCAAACAAGAGATTATGCAAAAAAATTGCACTTTACATACATTTCTGTCACTGATGATGAAGCGTCAACCAAGCATTAAATATTGGCCAATTTCTTGTTAATAAAAAGAAAACTAGAAGAACTTTCTTTGCCCTATTTCAATCAGAGGACACCATCAGAGAACTGAAATTATATTCTGTGTATATCTACAGAAACTAGATTTCTACTGGAGTCCAAAGGAGTTGGGACACTAATACATTTTAATAATAATAATAGAAGAGAAAAAACTGCAGAAAATAACAAAATACAAAGCCTGCAAATAGAAATACACAGTGGCAAAAGAGAGCAAAGGTAATAGTAATAGGCATCTTGGTTATAATCTCAAAGCCATTGGGGCATCGTTTGCACACTATTGCCATTGTCAAATTCAACATTAGTAAATTGTAAAAGGCAGAAGATACAAAAGGTATCTGTAACACCATCGAACATCAAAATCTGCCTATTCCCGGTCCTAGGGAAGGAGTTGATAGACAGGCAAAAATATCTAATCTAGTCTGAACATCTGACTGCGTGACAAACCATAAAAAAACAAAGCAGAAATGATTTTAAAAAATCTAGACAGATTCTAGACAGATACCAGAAAGAAATGGAAAAAAATAGCAATAGCAATAGCAGTTAGATTTATATACCGCTTCATAGGGCTTTCAGCCCTCTCTAAGCGGTTTACAGAGTCAGCATATTGCCCCCACA